ATTCACTTGTTAAATATGTTTATATTTCAAAAATTACATTTAGCTTAATATCACCTCTCCTCACGCACATTTAATGTTGCAAATTTAGGCATACTTATTAGAACTAAGATAAATCTAAGTATTTGACTTTGATAAGGGTTTGGTGACAGTAATGAACAGGGCATAAAATTTTCTCTTTTAGTACTTTTCAGATTAAAGGTAATAATATGAATAAATATGGAATAAATATGGAGGTTTACTAAGGAGGTCTTCTAGTTAGAAATCATAGAATAGGTGGTAGCAATGAACTTGCCTTTGAATAAATATAATCCCCTGCTGAACCACATGGATTCCACAAGATCAGCATACATTTTAGGTTGTAGTGAGTCTCAGTTACACTGCCTATAAAAATTTCCCAGGAATATCTGCCTACCTGTTTTCTTTCTAGTCTTTGTGCCTTGCTAATCCCTTGTCTATTTACAGGTGACACACCTCGAAAGACATAATGTAGCATGATAATCCCACAGGATGCATTGAATAGATCCTGATGCTTGTTGAAATGTCCCCATTTCTCTTTTGTATGAAAGTGACTCCAGATGTATCTTACATATGCACACATAATAACAAAATTATTGTCAGACCCAAAGGGTTAATTTTCATTAGATGGGATTGACTATACTATGCAAATAGTGTTGTTATTACATATTTCTAATCTCGTAAAATTTCCCAACAATATTAATTATCAACCAGAAGTAATATGGAAATTTTTGTTTTCACTTCACTTTTTATTTATTTATTTTTTTGGCTCAGACAAATCATACTACTGAAGGCAGAGATGTGATAAATATACTGTTAATCTTCATGTTAATTCGCCAGAGAAGCAGATTAGCTGACATTAATCCAGAATATTACCTCAACAGATAGCAGTCTATCGTGATCTCTATAACAGGTCACCTCTCTTTTTCATCAGTAGCAGCTACAACTATTATCCTCTGTTGTGATGTAAATTTTGTTCATGGACCCAAAAAGTAATTTCATTAAGAACAATTTCATTTATAAGTGGCTAACATTTGCAGACTACTTGAAATCTACTAGGCACTTGTTACACCCACAGATTTCCTCCAATCCAAAAGCAGAGAATTCCTTTGAAGCCTTTTTTTTTTCAGCCAAAATGACATAAAATGGAGAAGCAGTTACATAGAATTACAAGTAATTCACATGGGATAATTTATGAGCATTCCCAGGCCCCAAAATAACTTACCACATGATACTTAAAACAGCTGTATTAACACTAACAAACAGTAAAAGCAATAGTGATATCATGTGATCCATACATAGCCTATTATGCCTATTATGTATAAACTATCAATAGTTCCTGGGAAAGGAAATAAATCCCCTTCAGATATCTTTCAGTTAGTAAAGTCAAGTGCTAATTGTCAGTCTTTCATATGAGCCACACGGCATAAGTTGAACTTTTAAAAAGCAGGGGTGCCTATAATGTTACACAGAACTCTCAGAAATCCTGTGAGAGTGGTCCCCTTGCAATCTAAATTTTACAGATTTAAAAGAATCTTAGGAGAGGAGAAACAATATCAGACTGTTTTTAATTGACTGTCCTAGGGCTCAAAATCAACTGGATGGACAGGGGTGCACAATTTTCCCTTTTACTCCTTTCCAGACCGAAGTTAATACCATGAATAAATATGCAGTATAGTTTACTAAGGAGGACTTCCCTTGCTGGTTGGGAACTCATTGAATACTTTTAATATTTAAGCTCTGTGACATAGTATCACTGCTTGATTATTTAAGAATTAATATTTCAACTCTTTTATTTTCTAGAAATTAAATGTAAACCTAAAAGCTGTATGCATACTGCTTATGATTCTTTGGTTTCAAATAACCAAAACTCAATTGACATCACCATAAGTTAAAAGAGGAAATTTACTGACTTAGCTAACTAAAATTCTAGGGAACTAAACATGACAAAATTGAGGTTAAACTCAAGTCCCACTTTAATCTCGGGTCACATCTTAACTCCCCTCTCCTCTGTCTTTACTCTTAGCCTCCTGCTCCTCCCTCAGGTAGAAAGACCTGCAGTGATATTCAAAATTACCTCACACAGTGATATTCATATTACCTCACACAGAGATTCTACATTTTCATGTTTATGGTCTTAATCAGATGTCCAAAGAGCGATCTCCTGAGCTGCATATTCTGACATCTTAGAGAAAAGGCAAGATGGAATAATGATTTAATCCACCATTATACTCTTTACTTAATTCCTCTGTGTGTAGAAAATGCATAAAACTCCTAGAGGAAAAAGTACTAGTCACCTAAGTTTTATTTTTGAAAATAGTTTGATATGAAGACAGGTGTGTTAAAGTAAGCACATTTAAGAAGGATGCCTCTGCTTAAGAGGGTTGGTTTAAGAAACCTATCTGCCCAGGGATATACTATATAATGATAGACTTCTTATTCTCCTGACAAGAGAGACAACATATCAGGTAATGTCTGTCCTAACAGAACCTTCTTATCGGACTGCCATGTCCTAAAAACTCAGTCTATTTAGGTTCAGGCATTTCTGCTATAAGAAATGTTGGCAAGAAATCCTGAGAACTCTAAAAGCAATGAAAACTCAATTCATTGAACATAAGTAACTACCATGTATATTAAGTAGGTGAGTTACATATTATATAGATAACACTGTAAATACTGTATATTGAAATATACTTTTCTTTCAATCCCAAGAGAATAAGAGTTTAGTGAATTTAAGGTTTATTTCTCAGTTGATTTCTTCTTTTGCTTTTTTTTTAACCCCATGCCTTGGTGACGCCTGCCACCTGAATTATCTAGCATCTTTTTCAGCATCTTTGTGATTATTTGTATTCAGCTGTGGCTTATAGACTGACTTGTCAGGTAATTCAGTAGCTAGTACAGCCAATTTTATTAGAACTAATGATGCCTCCTGCAGATTAATATTTTTACTTTTGTTTCTGATTTCTCTCATTTTTACTCAGACTGTTGCTCTTCAAGATTCTTTGTTGAAAACATCACATTTGTTTATACAGCTAGAAAATGTATTTAACATTGGCTCCCTCTGGCATAAATTGTTTACTCCACAGAAGATCTCAAAATTTCAGTGCCAAAAGACTGGCTTTCAGAATAACCTTCACTAAGACTTTTTGCAAATAAACCATACAAAATGAAAACAAAGACCTTTCTAGAAAATTTATTTTTGTTTCTGTTTTTTTTTTGAGAATTTTTTTTAAAGAGAAAAAAAAAGAGAGTCATATTGCATCATTTGCAAGTTCCAGAAAAAAAGGATAACTTCATCACACTCTTTTAACCCTTCACTAATCAGGGGTTTTAATGTAGATTCAAATTAATGCTTTTTATAAAGAGGAAATTTGCTTTTCACTCATTTATAATAATAGTGATTTAGGTTTTAGGACTTTCCTTAACCTGATCTTCAACATCTTTCATGAATTTTCAAGCATCTTTTCCTATTACTTACCTCTGACATTCCTATACTGAATAAAAATTGGAGCAATGTCTCATGGTATCCAAATAAGATACACTCCCACAAAGTGAAAAATGGCCCTCACATTTTAAAGGTTACAAATAATTTGCATAACTTGAAAAATTTGAAGAGCTTTATAATTTGTTCCTTGTCTATAAAGCAATTTTGTGTAAACATGTCTTCATAACTAGTAGCCTATTCCTTCCTCAAATTCTACCGTGAATGAAAAATAAACTCCTTTTACCCAGGTCACAGTAGTCACAGACACTTAACCAGTCTTGGTTAAGCAAAGTCATATTTTTAAAAAATAGGGTAACTGTACTGTTCCTTACATAAAAAATTATAAGAGTGCATATGCAAGGTCGTGTGTTAGATGAGTTTTGTTCAAGGATAAGTTATCGTGCCAATGGCTATGAGTTCAATGTTTATGACAATACAGTATATACCCAAAAAAGAAGAAATTTGCTGGTTTTCATAAATTGTATCAGTTCTTTGAAGAGTTTGGATATCAACCCATTGTCAAATGTATGGTGTACAAATATTTTCTCCCATTCAGTATGGTGCCTTTTTGTCGTAGTGAAGTTTCTTTCCCTATAGAGCGTATTTTTCTGCAGTGCAGAAGCTTTGTAATTTGATATAGTCTGAATTGCACGTTCTCTTTTGTTTTCCTGCTGTTGGAGATGAACCCATAACACATGACTGAAGGTTCTATCATGCTGTGTTTATGATTCTTTTATGTATTGTAGTTTCAGGTCCTACATCCAAGTCTTTCTTTGAGCCCCATTTTTTGTAGGATTGCTTTGCAACTCTTTACTTTGAGCCTGTGTATATTTGGCGCTCAGGTGCGTTTCCTGGAAACCGAAGAAAGCTGAGCTCTGCTTTCAGATCCAACCAGCCACTGGATAATCTGACCGTTAAGCTTGATTGGTAAATTTGAACACAGTCTAATTTATATTGGATCAAATTGATTCTGTTAAAGTATTATTCTAGTGTTTTGGGGAAGACAGTTTTAAATGAATTTATTTTTCTAGTGTTTGAATGTTCAGTGTCTGAAAAAAAGAAAATTTGAAATAGATATTGATTTCATACAATAGTTTTTAACTGGAGCAAATTATTCTTTAGTATTTTCTTCACTTTTCATCTTGTCTGTTGGACAGAATACTAACATTTTAGACAGTTTCTATAAAATTGCTTCGTTATTTTGAATAATACCGAGCAGATTTTTAAATTTAAAATCAAGCTGTAAATGTCCTTGTCTTAGGAAAATTATTGTGAAAACAAGGCCATCTGCTGAGGTACTACAGTTACATTTGGCCCTCAGAGTATGTTTTAGCACTCAGTTGAATTATACACCCACAAAACAAGTTCACCTTGATCTTTTACATTAAATATGAAATATCTCAAGGATAAATCTAACATAAATCTGAACCTATGACGTTTCTATCTAAAGAAAGCAGAAATAAAATGGGACTTTGGTTTTGATTACAGTAAAATATTACAGGCACCAGGAATACAAGTCTTGAGGCTCTAACAATCCGGAAGAATGGCAAACAGCGCTTCTGAACAGAATCAAAATCACTGCTCGGCTGCTAACAGCAGCAGCTCCCTCCTGGAGGGCAACTTCCCCACCCTGACTCTCTCTGGAAAGATCCGAGTGACAGTTACTTTCTTCCTTTTTCTTCTCTCCACCACCTTTAATGCATCTTTCTTGTTAAAACTTCAGAAGTGGACTCAGAAGAAAGAGAAAAGTAAAAAGCTCTCAAGAATGAAGGTGCTTTTAAAACATTTGACCTTAGCCAACCTGTTGGAGACTCTGATTGTCATGCCTCTCGATGGGATGTGGAACATTACTGTCCAATGGTATGCTGGGGAACTCCTCTGCAAAGTTCTCAGCTATCTGAAGCTTTTCTCCATGTATGCACCAGCCTTCATGATGGTAGTTATCAGCCTGGACCGCTCGTTGGCCATCACAAGGCCTCTCGCTCTGAAACGCAGCAGCAATCTCGGACAGCCCATGATTGTCTTGGCCTGGCTCCTCAGTAGTATTTTTGCTGGACCACAGGTAAAGCACTGCCATGAATTTGTTAAGCTTTGGAGCGTGTAAATTTCCTATCTGAACTTACATGAAGGCCTGTCTTGTCAAAGGCAGTACCATAACTTTAGTAGTTTGCACTCTGGAAGTCAAAAGTTAAGTTTCATCCTGTGTCTGCTCTGTGACCTTGGGCAAATTTCTCAAGTACTGTTGAGTTTGGTTCCTTCATTTATAAAATGAAGGTAATGACTATTTTATACAACCTCTGTGATAGGCTGATTAAATGAAAAATGTGTTTAATCATTTAATAGTCTCTGGTACATAGTAAATGCTTCCCCCAAAAGTGGTTATTTTCAAATCTGAACTCATCTTCATTTTATTCTTCCATCGATTTTTCCTTTACTCTGATTGGTATTGATTCTAAGGTAGCTAGAGAGAATCTATAAGAATTATGAACTTTCTAAAATAAAATAAAAAGTATTTATAACTTCATATTTGGGATGAGTTGAAAGGACACTTCAAGCATTCAGTCACTGCAGTCTAGGTGATTATTCTTGATTAGAATGTTGTCCTGTGGTTTGCAGCTGGCTGGGATTGAATAAAGAGGAAAAGCAGAAAAAATCTTGGACTTTTGGAAATTTGAATATTTCCTTGAGTTTCACTTGAGTTATCTCAAAGTAAGTCAGACTGAAAGAAATTACTAGCAATAGCATGGGACAGTTGGAATAGGCACTGGTTCTCAAAGAAGGAGCCGTCTCTGACACTTTCTTCACCTGAAGAAATCCAATTAATCAACTTGCAGAATTTCTCTTTCAATATTCAGGTCTCTGAAAAAAAGGACAAACAAAAAATTTAACAGATGAGGAAGCTGTCGCTATCCTTTAAATGTGCTACAGCATGATGAACTCAGGGCAATGGATATAGATTAGAGAGAAACAAAGAAACCTTTGTGGATTATCTGACTAGAATGGTGTAACAGGGAATGGATTATAAGAGAGATGTTAAAAACAAAAATCAGAGCTTGGCAACAAGTTGGGTTTAATTAGATAATAATAGAGCAGAATAAAATTGAGACCAAATGTTAAATACCAAAGAGATTGACTAATAAACCCACTGAAATGGCGAGGTAAGGTGTAGTCATGGCTGAGTGGTGAAGGCGATGGACTATTGTCTACCTGTGTTTAGTTGCTTGTTTGAAAGGGATTGGAAAGTAGGCAATGAAAAAAATATTTTTCTTATGAAAGCTAAAGTATTTGCTATAGGACAGGATATTAGTAATAGAAGGTCTTTGTGTAAATAAGCTTTAGAAAGTATGAGGTTATTTGAGATACTGACATAGATAAAATTCTAAACAGAAGTAGAAATAAGTTAATTTTAGATCATTGAAAAAAGAGTCCCCAATTTCACTCTCATTTAAAGGGCTTTCCCAGAGGAGAATATTTAAAAAATATTAAATTATTGTTTTCATTTAAATATTTCACAGCAGCAATAAAAAGATAATCCCAAATACCTGACTATCTTGATGTAATAAAAACAAAATGTAAAACTTACTCTGAACTGTTTAGAAACTTCTTGTTATGGCTTGACCTCAAATACATAACTCTACCTGAAAGATTCATCTGAATATGGACCACAGAAAATGATAGTACTATTTTATTTTATAATCCGAATGACTCACCATTTAACTTTCAGCAGCATATTAAATTCATAAAGCACTTGGTTGAAGGTTCCTGAAAAAGTTGGCTTCCACAGTCTTACTTGATATTTACATTAACTCTCTGAGAGTAAATGTTAATGTAAATTAACTCTCAAAGAGTTAATGTAAATGTAGTTAATGTTAGTTTCATTTCATGTGTAAGAGGGTTCACAAAGAGTGAAAACAATGACATGTAAACCATTTGAGCAGTAACCCAAAGTAAGACATCCTTGCTACATAGAGACACTGTCTGACTTTCTCTTTTTTTCACACACCAATATTTGAGAAAAGATTCTCATGAAGTAAACATCCGCTCAGGTCTGTTTCATGCTGCAGTGTTGATTGTAACCAATGATGGGCACAGTCTGCTGATTGAAAGGCATTTGTTGACTTTTCCAGTGTCTCTTGGCCTGCTGGGTCCATGTCTTTTTACTAAGTCCAGTTTTTATTAGAGGTTTCAGCCCTGTGACTAATGCCGCGTGCATTTGTTGGGGGAGGAGATGAGAGAGAGAGGGCTTTTCATTTCTAGACTGTGACATATGTCCTTTGTGTTTCCAGCTTCTGCACATGCTATGGATAAGCCCCTTGACAATGGCTCTCCTGTTAGTGCTAATTTATGTGAAAAGGGAGAAAGATTACCTTTAATCTTTATCCTTTGTGTATATGTTTACTTTTTAGCATTTAAGGAATTCAGATCTTGGCTTAAACAACCAACAAGGTAGTTGTCACAACTCAGGTCTGGAAAACTGGGGATTGATGACATTTTCCAAGAATTCAGAATGACCAAAATTCATATTGGTCACTTTATTTTCCACCTTCCTGATTTAGTAACCTCAAAACATACAGTCTATGATAGGCTGGGATCTATTTTCAGAAGTTTCAGGATACTGCAAACTACTAACTTGAAACCATATGCTAGCCAAAGGCCTTTTTTAAAAAAGCAAAATTCTATGTAGAAGCCCAATAAGTAGAACAGACATAGGTGAAACTGCTCTGATTAAACAGGGAAAAGGCAGACGCCTTCCGCTGGAACATTCTCTAGCCCCAGTCATAGTCTAAACCTCAACTCTTTCCACAACAAAATTTGAAAGACAATGGGATAGCAGAAATAGCATGGGTATTGAATTTAAGCAAAGTTAATTCAAATTGCAATACTTTGTCTTACCATCTGTGTGACTCCAAGCACATTACTTAAGTTTAAAAGGATAATTTTAAATAATAAATTATAAAAATAAAAGAAGTTATTTAGTGTAAGACTTTTAACCTAAACACTCAGTTAATGCTCTTTCCTTCCTATTTCCTTGTTTTTCATCCTTCCATCCTAAAGAAAAATTTTAAGTCAGTAGTGACAATAACAGAAATTTGAGAATGAAGATGGATGTCTCTTTAAAAATATAGCAAAGAAAACTGCACTGTGAAGGTTGATCATTTCAAACGTCTCAAAATTACACCATTGATTCTGATTAAGTAAAACACCAGCAACCTGCAACCTAGTCAACAAACGATCTTCTTAACTCTGATGTATGTGCCAGAACAGAATAATTCAAGTCTAAGAGGCATTATTTCTAAAAGTAAGAGAATGAAGGGAGGCAGGGAGAGAAGGACACAGAAGGGAGGGTGGGAGAGGGAAGGAAAGACAGAAAAGAAAAAAAAAAGGCAACAACACGTCAATGAAAGGAGATCTTATTTTAGATATCTGTGGTTAGGCTGGTAAGTACATGTTGGGAGAAAAGCACTTTTTAATTGGGTGTGTCCATATCTAATTAAAAAATCACATGGTTTCCATGACAGTCATCCAAGACCACAAGGATTCCAGAGTAGCAGATTATTTGCAGAAAGAGTTCATGCCACTAGAACTTATCTGTGGTAATACGGGCATTAGCATATTGACAGTGTTTAATTCTATAGTTAACCCAGAGCTTCAGGCAAGATGTATGAGCCATTCTTCAGTCTTTGGTGTAAAGATGTGTGGTCTGAGATGTGTGGAGACTTGCCTTGACACACTGAATTTACAAAGCTAGAATGTACTGCTGAACATGACCAGATTAAATGTACTATGCATCATATGTATATGATGTGTACCATTTGCCAAGAACTGTACTTCAACAGTAGTAGCAATAAGTAAAAACAAAAAGGAAAACAATAATGGTCATGATGGTAAATGATCACTATTGAAGACAAATACCTGCCAGGAATTGTGCTACATGCATGTGCACACATTATTTTATGTCAGTCTCTCAACAACCCGTTTGGCACAATTATTATCCTGTTTTCTTTAAGAAGTAACTAAAGCTAAGAGTGGTATGACCACTTGCTGTATACTTGCTGTATGACCAAGATTACTGTCTAGTAAGTGGAGGTGTGAGCTCTTAATGTCCATTCTACACGAGACTGTGAAATAGTGTCTATTTCTTTCTGTAGGAAGACAAGAAAATCTCAGATTGAGAATAGATGGTCAAGAGAAATTTTTTTAAGTGCTATACATTTGTGCATATATACATGAATATTTATGGAAATATAAGTTGAGTGTCTCCAAAATTTTATAATAATAATGGTTATAATTTATATGTGTGTATGCATATAAATTTTACATGTGGATATAATATATGTGTGTGCATGGATAGATAGATCAATCGATAGTTAACTAAATGCTAAATCTTATTCTAAGCATTTTGTAATATTAACTCATTTAATTGTTATGACAACCCCTAGAAGTAGTTACTATTAACATCTCCATTTCATAGATGAGGAAAATGAAATGTCTTCTCAAGATGACTTTTAGAAAATACTAGGTAATGGTCAGTGTGGGGTACACTGAGAGTTAAAATAATTTTCTAGGATTATTCGATTCTGCCATTGACTTTAAAGAAGAAAGATTACCCTTGTTTATGACAGTATAAAGCTAACATTGATGAAAACTGGAGATAGGGGTAAGAAGGAAGAAGCATAAAGAAATTAAAGAGACACAATCCAGAGCAAAAGAAACACTGGAAGTTTAGTGGATCCCAAAATTAATCACTGAAATGAACGTGGCCTTGGAATAAATAATAAACTACAGAAGCAAGTGTGAAACAAATAGTTTATCACAATTAAGATGCTGAATTTCATTAATGCTTTACTATACTTCTCACTCAGAAATTATCACACAATCTAGGTGTCATATATGTGTTAACGACCCCCTCCCACATCATAGTTAATCATCTTTTTTTTTTTTTGAAGATTTATTGATTTGTGCATACAAATTGGGTATAGGCCAGAGGTACAGGGGTTGAGAAGATTCACCAGAAACATAGTGGGGAACAGACCAGGCAAATCGCCTGAAACACATTGCTGAGCAGAGCAGAGGGCCAGACAGGAGAGGTTCTGCTGTGACATGTGGGTCAGCCCCCTGGCTGGGAATCAAACTCATTCCAAGGTGCCTGGCAATAGCTTGATAACTCTGTGACTTTTACCCCTGCACCACCAAGGAGCCCCTATCACTCATTTATATGGAAAAATTATTGAGCATTCACAGACATAGAAAATAACCCAAGTCATACCAAATAATCTAAAACCTACAACCCTAATATATAGTAAAAGCAAGAACAACATGATATTCTGAACCAGCATATGAAGTAGTTTTCTGGAAAGGTGCTTGGTGTCCCACTATCAAGCTGCAAAAAGAAGTGCTGAAGGCTAGATCCGTAGCTTTTCCTCTTTTGTTGCAAAATAAAACTCTAGTTAGCAAAAAATAGATGCTAACTTTTTATTTTTATAAAAGTATACTAGCTTGAACTTTTATTAAAAATTCCATATTATGACTAAAATGTGAAGGTGAAAGTGTGGTTCAGTGCAGAGCAGAAAGTCAAATTTGCATAATCTGGTTTCCAATATCATTTGGGAAGATGAAGAGAGAAATAGTAAGGACTTTAAGGACATGTAGTTAAGAATCAGGCTCTATGTGAAACAAAGACTTCAAATTCCATCGTTTATCAGCTCAAGTTCAAAAATGAATTTTAAATAACTTCAGGTTGTAAGGAATGTTCATTTTCTATTTTGGCAAAATCTAGTTCTGGATCATAAAATAGAATTAACTTGAGTTTCCTGACTTTAACGTTGATCATATGGTCATTTGGCGCCCTCTAGTGGATTAACTTAAAAATTTTGGGGGGCCCTGAAAACTGAAAAAAAAGAATTGAACTGAAAATCACTATTTTGTTTACAAATTTTTAAAAAGTTTACAGTTTATGCCATTTATTTATATTTCATTAAATTATAAGAGTAAACATGTATTATGGTTTGTTTTTGGTTGTTATCTTTACTTAATAAACATGCTTATGTTAAAGCCACCCTTTTGTTAAAGAACTGTATTAGGTGTTCTCTGTTACAAAAGATGAAGTAGATATAGCCTGCTATCAGATAATTAAGGACTGGGGGGGGGCGGTTAGTACATATGTGACACCTATTTTCTGTGATAAGATCTGAATTAGAGGAAAAGTATTGTGGAAGTTCAGCATCTATAAGGAGTAAAATAGTAACTTTACAGTAGAACCATAATTGTTGAAGTTAGTTAACAACTTCTGCTTCCTTATATAATGCATTGAGAGGAACTCAGCATTAACTGAGTATTGCAAGGAACTTGAAAATCAAGTATTCTCAAGTTCCTTGCAATACAATTTACGACAATCAAGTTACAGGAACTGTAAAGTTATTATTTTCCTCCTTGTAATGAATAATTATCCTACATAGATACTTTGAAATGATGTAAATACCCAGTTTTTGCTGGATTTTTTAACCATACATTCACCATCCATTTACAATGTTTACTTAAATCACATTATATCATTTATTAGTCACTACTTTCAGTATTCTACTTACAGTTATCATCTGGCTTGAGCAAATTATATAGTCCTTGTATTATCCTTGTACAATAACAAGGAACTTTTTCCTCTCCCAATTTATTTGTTGTTGTGCTGCAATTTATAACAGTGTGGACTCATTCTTACCTTAAATCCTCAGCTGATCATTTTTCTGCAATGTTGAAATAACTTCCAAAAAACCACAATCTTTTTTTAGAAAAAGATTTATTTATTTAGACATACAGAACTAGTACAGGACAGAGGTGCAGGGGCAGTGAGAGGATTCACCAGAGAAAGAGTGGGGAGCAGAACAGGCTGACTGACAAAGTACACTGCTGAGAGGAGCAATGGGCGGGTAAGGAGAGGTCTGCAGCGCCATGTGGGTCACCTCTGGGATAGGTGGGGATGAACTCATGCTGAAGTGGCTTTAGCTTTTTAGTGCTGTACTTTAGCCCACTGCTCCACCAGGGAGGGCCCGAAAACCACAATCTTATATCCAGGGGCTTAACAATTACCGTTTGCAAAAAACTTGGTAAAAGAATAACAGAATAAAGAAGACAAAACTTACAAGACAAACATACAAATACTGTGGGGAAAAAAATTAACAATCTTTAATTTGTTTTATTTTCCCATACAGTTATACATCTTCCAGGTGATCCATTTAGCAGACAGTTCTGGACAGACGAAAGGTTTCTCTCAATGTGTTACACACTGCAGTTTTCCACAATGGTGGCATCAAGCTTTTTACAACTTTTTCACCTTCAGCTGCCTCTTCATCATCCCTCTTCTTATCATGTTGATCTGCAATGCAAAAATCATCTTCACCCTGACACAGGTCCTGCAGCAGGATCCCCACCGTACGTATTCCTTAGATGTGATGTCAATTATGGATCAATGGTTTTGAAACAACAGTGCTCAAAGCACAGTAGCATTACTCTCTGCCAGTTCCTGTCCTAAGCAGCTTACATCTATTAACTCACTAGTATTCAAAGTCACCCATGAGATAATACTTTAATTATACTTTTATTATCCTCAAGTTACAATTTAATGGGTTCAAATAATCTAAATTTATACAATGGTATTAAAGCCGAAATGACAATGCCCCCCACTTACCCAACATAAGCACTGGCAGATTGTTCCTGCTGAGTCATTCCATTGTTGTACCAAAGACATGATTTTCTAAAATAAAGCAAAATACAACTTTGTACTTTGTAGTAAGTCTAGTAGCCAATGGGCTTGTGTAAATCAAGCTATTCTGTTTCACATTCAAAATACCTGTTTGCACCCAATACAACTGTCTGTGTGTGTGTGTGTGTTTGTATACATGCATGCATGATGAGTATGTGAAATACCGTTGAATATAAGGTTGAATATATAGTAGTTGATATTTCCATCTAAATAGCCCGTATGTGGTTGTGCCTTTTTGGGTTCGATATCTGGTACATTCTCAAAAACCATGCAAAGTAAACACGGTTATTTTGCATGATATCCAAAAGGCATGCACCAGCAGCATAATGTATGTTATTCCTGGCACAACTTAACAAGAAAATTGTCATGGCACGATCACTGTCAGTAACCACTTTCAAATCATTACTATGGGTAATGATTTATAAATCACAGATACTTGCCAGCATGAAATGATATTTGATAGTTCCTAAAAAGCATATTGTATTGCAAAATAATTTGCTTTCAAAATCTTATCCTAGAGATAATCAGTTCTATAAGACATATCGGAAGAGAGTACATTGTGAATAAGAAAAATATCCCCACATGAAGATCAATCTAAAGACAGTTGAGCTATCCAAAACATGGAAAAAATGAAGGAGAATAGTTAAATAATATTTAATCTAACCTTTTCATGTATTCAACAAGTAAGTGCTGATTTAATCTTTTATGTATTCAACAAATAAGTACTGATTACTAGTCTGGCTCGAAATTGTGCTAGATAAGGCTATGCTACATAAAACTGCTTAGTAACTAGCCTGGGTTCATAAAGTATATAGTCAAGCAGAAAAGTCAGCTAGTGAAAGATATCTGACCACAAAAAGTGATCGTTCCAAAAACGTAGAAGTGCAGCATGCATAGGAGAGTCTATACTTTTCCATATTCAGTCAATTGTGCTAAACCTGTGTTTACCTTTTTAAGGTGTTCATTCTGTAGATTGCTATATTACTTATATGTCACAACAGTTTACAGATACTAAGGACTAATCTTAATTAATCATTTAATTTTAACTCCATAGTGCAAATTTAAAACAGTGGGAATATAATTAATTAATGTGTGAAAACAAAACAAGGTCCATAGTAAATGGTGTTTTGATTTGTGTGAATAAAAGTTCCTACTCAGTCTATTCTATACATTATTTATCTTAACATTTTTAGTAAAAAGATAAGTATATAATTAAAATATCATGAATGTAAATGTTTTCCTTCCTATTTTTACTGTTTAGTGATCTTTAATAATAAGTTACAAAATGGGCACAGTGGGTTAAAGCGCAGCACTGAGAAAGCAACTTCAGCATGAGTTTGATCCCCACCCCAGAGGTGACCCACATGGTGCCGCGGACCTCTCCTGACCTGCCTGCTGCTCCCCTCAGCAGTGTGCTTCATAAGTCAGCCTGTTCTGTTCCCCACTCTGTCTCTGGTGAATCCTCTCGCCACCCCTGCACCTCTGGCCTATACCCCAGCTCTGTATGCATAAATAAAATAAATCTTTTTAAAAAGAAGAAGTTACAAAATTACTATTTCTGAACAGTATTATCTATTCCCCTCAAAATTTAAAGTATTTGAAGTGAATTTTTTATTTTAAAATAGCAGTTTTGGGACTATGAATTACAACAAATTTTGAGTATTTTAAAGCTTCAGGTTTTTTCTTTAAAGAGCTAAATTCAAAATTTCATGCAGGATTCTATTAAATTCAGAATTCCATTAAATTCTAGTGAATTTCTTCATAGAGAACATAACACTGAAACGTAAAGGACATGTTAATATGAAAAGTGAAGTTATTTTGAATATCCCAGAAAGAAGATAATTTTGGCCAGAACCCTTCTATTATTCTACTTTCAGATATATTTACACATTGAATATTGTTCTGTTTAAATTCAAATTTTAACTCAGTTCAAACTCATTTCTCTTAATGTTTTAAGAAGTTGAGCACCTCCATATTTTTTTAAATATGCAAACAGCTTTATTATGTTTGCATAATAAAGCAAACATGTTTGCTTTATATTTGTTTAATAAAACAGATCATTATTTTTTTTAAAAAGGGAAGGGGGGGCCCTCCCTGGTGGCGCAGCGGGTTAAAGCACTGCACTGAGAAGCTAAAGCCACTTCTGCATGAGTTCGATCCCCGCCTGCCCTGGAGGTGACCACATGGCGTGGCAGACCTCTCCTGACCCGCCCGCTGCTCCCCTCAGCAGTGTACTTTGTAGATCTGCCTGTTCTGCTCCCCGCTCTGTCTCTGGTGAAGCCTCTCACCACCCCTGAGCCTCTGACCTGTACCCCAGTTCTGTATGTACAAATAAAATAAAAAATCTTTAAAAAAAAAAAAAAAAGGGAAGGGGAAAAAAATGATGCTTGCACAGACAGAAGTGGGCAGAGAGCTGCCTCTGAAAGTGAAAGTTCTGGGAAAAGAGATGTCTGCATAGACACAGGCAGGGTGGAGAGCACCCCATATTTAAAATCCAATTAGTTTGATGGAAACTTAATTTTTTTTTAAAGATTTATTTATTTATGCATACAGAACTGGGGTACAGGCCAGAGGCGCAGGGGCGGTGAGCGGCTTCATCAGAGACAGAGTGGGGCGCAGAACAGGCCGACTGATGAAGCACACTGCTGCGGGAAGCAGCGGGTGGGTCAGGAGAGGTCTGCCACACCATGTGGGTCACCTTGGGGGCCGGGGATGGAACTCATGCTGAAGTGGCTTTTGCTTCTTAGCACTGTGCTTTAACACGCTGTGCTACCAGTGAGGGCCTGGAAACTTAATTTTTTTAATTTATTTATGCATACAAGAACTGGGGGACAGGCCAGAGGTGCAGGCAGTGAGTGGCATTGGGTGTGGGGGGAGGATGGTAAGAGGATTAGCCAGAGACAGAGTAGGTTGAAGAACAAGCAGATACACTGAAGTACACTGCTGAGAGGATCAGCGGGTGAGACAGGAGAAGTCTGCTGTGCCATGTGGGTCACCTTCCTGGCTGGATGGAACTTGTGTTGCAGTGGCTGCCTGTAACTTCATGATGCTGAGACTTAGCCCCTTGCACCACCAGGGAAGCCCTGGAAACTCAATTTTAAGAACATTACCAATGTATCCTGTTTGCACAAAGATGGACAGATATAGGGCCAAGACTTTAAGCAAGCTTTGCTTAATTTAAATTAGTTGTCCAAACAAATTTTAGTGATATATTTGTCTGCTTCTTCGCTTCTTTAAAGGGAAAAACTGATGCTTTATTGCTTCTTTGTCAACAAACCACATAAACAGTTTGCTATAGTCGTTCAGTATGTTCTACATTTTATGGACCTCCATGAATACAAATTTAAACTTGTTTTTTCTCTTGCTAATCTCCTTTGTGTCAAAATAGGTGAGGGAGAAATCCCATAAAGTTTTCCCCTACATTTCAAACATACTATTATTATTATTATTATTATTATTATTAAAAATAATGGAAATGAAAAAAAAAAACCAGTAATCCCACTCCTAGGTATCTATCCAAAAGACACAAAAACACTGATTGAAAAAGATTCCTGTACCCCCATGTTTATTGCTGCTTTATTTACAATTGGAAAAATAATGGAAATGTCCTCCCATTGTTTGTTAGTTTGAATTAGTGACCATTTCTTCCTTTTTATCCATTTTGGTTTTATAATAAAACTGGTATTTAAGCACCTGCTCTTTTCTCTAGTAGAACTACAACTGAATCAATCCATGAACAATATCCCAAGAGCTCGGCTGAGGACCCTAAAGATGACAGTTGCATTTGCCACTTCGTTTACTGTCTGCTGGACCCCGTACTATGTCCTGGGGATTTGGTACTGGTTTGATCCTGAAATGTTAAACAGGGTGTCAGATCCAGTAAATCACTTCTTCTTTCTCTTTGCTTTTTTAAACCCATGCTTTGATCCACTGATATATGGATATTTCTCTCTGTAATTGATATCCTCCATAGAATATCATAGTAAGAAAAGACAAAAGTAATGAATTTCTACATTTGGGAATGATAAACACAAAATGTCCCCCACAGCTGCATTAAAAACTCAAGGTTTAAAGTTTTCGATCTTATTCTTTAAGAAATCACATTGTCTGAAATGCAAATCAAGGAGAAAAAATTCTTGAGAAAAAAATAATAAAACATGTTGCCTTCATCATAAACTTCTAAATTAATCTCTATGAACTATGGCACATTATATAGGTTCCTAATCACTTTTTCCTTGAATAACAATGTACAAATATTTAAAGCGGCCAGGGCCTGAGGCCACAGATGCCAGAAAGTAAGACTGACAAAGTATAACACAGTCTTAATCTCAACATTGATGTTTTGGGGAGAGCTCTTTTTCAAAAGGGTTTCGCAGCATTTACCACCTTAAGCTACAATGATCTACAGAACACAAGGGCATTATTTTCCATGCCCATAGATCAACTTGTGCTTGTGTGTTAGAAAAAAATCTAACATTTTTCTTTGGTTTCAAATGTTTTCTGGTGTTTGGTTCTAGTGTTCAGAAAGTTACCCACCATCCTCTCCACTAACCTGGCAAGACTTAATAATTTTTCCTTCATCCCATTCTTTTCCTATTACAGGTCATGAAGTGCCTTCATATGAAAGGAAGTTAGGATTTCAACATAGGAGTAGAACATTCCTCTAGGCTGGATAGTAAATGGAATATGTGATTAACTTTAGGAATAATAAGTGTTTTAAAATACAATTAAGAAAAGACCTATACTTTTTATACTGTATGTATAATATAGCCTCTTCTTAATATGAGTGATTTTTTCTATACTCTGATTTTACCAAGTCCATAATCCACAAGTCATTGAAAATAAATAAATTAATAAAGGCACAAGCCGAAAGTTATTTGATTTGTAAAAGAAATTCTGGAAACAACACAACAATTTTGATATATACAGATCAATTAGCAGAGTACTGAAAAAAATGAAAGGAAAAACTCTACAAATGTGTAACTAACACTTACCCGCCATGATATATCCACACAATAGCTCCCTTAGAGTATGCCTTTTTATATGTGGTCCATGAAAAAGGGAAGAGGATGAAAATAATGGAACTATTAATACCCACTGAATGAGAAAAATATATAAGGGAATTAAAAGAAATTCAACCATTTACTAACATTAAAAAAATAATAATGTATAATTGTATTGATATTATATATGTAGTGCCACACAAAAATAAAATGTAATTTTTTTAAAAAAATATTTATTTATTTATGCATACAGAGCTGGGGTACAGGTCTGAGATGCAGGGGCGGTGAAAGTATTCAGACACAAGGTGGGGAGCAAACAGGCAGATCTACCAAGTACACTGCTGAGGGGAGCAGCAGGCTGTCAGGTGAGGTCTGCCACGCCATGTGAATCACCTCCCGGGCAGGCAGGGATGAACTGCAGAAGTGGCTTTAGCTTCTCAGGCGGTGCTTTAACCCACTGCACCACCAGGGAGGGCCCAAAATGTGATTTTTAAATATTTCAGGATATGTAGAACTGTAAAAAGTAAATTGACAAATAGACTGATGGGCAGGTCTTGCATTATTTCTCTCTTAGCATACATTCAGTTTTTGTTTTTTTTTTTTTAAGATTTTATTTTATTTGTACATACAGAACTGGGGTACAGGCCAGAAGCTCAGGTGCGGTGAGAGGCTTCACCAGAGACAGAGTGGGGAGCAGAACAGGCAGATCGACGAAGTACACTGCTGAGGGGAGCAGCGGGCGGGTCAGGAGAGGTCTGCCACTCCATGTGGTCACCTCCGGGGCAGGCGGGGATCAAACTCATGCAAAAGTGGCTTTATCTTCACAGTGCAGTGCTTTAACCTGCTGCCCCACCAGGGAGGGCCATACATTCAGTTTTTAGTGTTGTACTGTAGAGTGTATAAAAATAAAAGAGTATATAGTGTTACAAAGATTAATTACTCACAGATCACAGAAGAAAGAGTTGGAAATACAAGGGCAGTCCCCTGTTCCATCTCACAGCAAACGAGAACAAAACAGCGAGCATATATTTTACGTATTTTTGATATATTTTTATTGAAGAAACATTGGTTTATAGCACTGTGTGAATTTCAGGTATGCATTACTCATATATTTCCACATCAGTTCAACATCATGCTCACCACCAAAAGTCTAGTTTCCATCTAGCACCATACAGTTGACCCCCTTTATCTCATATCTAACTCCCTACCCCTCTGGGAACCACCATTTTTTTTTTTTTTGTAGCTAGAAGCTTCTTTTTGTTTTGTTTTCTTTGCTTTGTTTAATTCTTTATAGTCCATATATGAGTGAAATCAAATGGTTTTTGTTTTTCCCTGCCTGACTTATATCATGAAACACTATTCTTTCAAGGTCCATCCATGTTTTCACAACCAGCAAAAATTCAGCTTTTAAAAATAGCTGAGTGGTATTCCATTATGTATATATACCCTGTTTTCTTTACCCATGAATAGACATTTAGGTTATTTCTATATTTTGGCTATTATGAATGATGCTGCAATGAATAGCAAGATGCCTATATTGGCTGAAATTAGTATATGCAGCAAAAATTACTAATTTTTTGAGAACTTAAATTTAAGTTGTTGCTTTGATAGTAGCCCTGGAAAAACAAATTGAACAACTTCCTAAAGACTAAATTTCATCCATACTCTGGTTATGAATAGGATTATCATACTATAAGATAATGAATAGGCAAGAACCCAGAAAAAAAGATGATGTGCTCAAAAAAAATTTTTTTCAAAAGTTGTTTTCCTCATCACACACATATACAAGACACAATCAAAGGGCTTTGTTAAATATGTATTTAATGATTGTACCTCAGTTTGACTCTTATATGTTCAAGAAACTATACTAGATAGATATTATTTCACACAGTTTTTAATACATTACTTTAAGGGCTAGTCAATATCTTTAATGCTGGGTTCTTTAACTTATAGCCCATGTACAAAATTATATTTCAATGCAACTACTTTTCTTTTATTCTTATTTGTATATTTTATGCATGTTATGCATCACCATAAGAGTTTATAGGTAGAACTAGACTGCAAGAGACTCACGTCACAATGAAGGCTGAGAATCCCTAGTAGATAAAAATGTAACAGAATGTACTCATGTTTTACATGCATATGTTATATGTTAAATGTTAATATTGAAATTGGGTTGTTTCAATTTGCTTAATAACCATTTTCAAACTTAGAAACTGTTAAGTTTCCAAAAGTAAAGGAAAACTTGGTAGAAATAATCTGACTATTGTGATCAATACATTATAAAGCAGGTATGGATTTAGACCAAAATTCATAGATCAGATTTTTTTTAAATCTGACATTTAAATATACTCATTAGCATTTAATATGCAATAGTCTAGTCATTTACTCTATTTCCAGTCATACAAAAGATGAAGATTTTTTACCAAAAAAGAATGTATGATTTGCAGAGAGAAGCCAGTATAATCAGTAATTAATATTCTATCTCTGTTGTCGCCTTTATTTAGTGCATAAAATTGGTTAAAAATTCTATTTCCTCTTGCAATTCAATTTAGCAAAGAACTAGCATGAATGAATGACAATGATTTAAACAAATATTTCACTAACTAAATTTCATCTTAAGAAATTACTGAAAAAAGTACTAGGGCAGGAAGTTGTCACAAAAACTGTCTTTCAGAGGCCATAAGTCTGTGTAAATGAGTTAGTAATTTCCTCAAAAATGATTGGGTCTTCAGAACTTATTTAATAGTAACAAAGAAATAATGTGTATAAGCAGTTAAAATATATATAGAATTGCATCTATTTTACCCTTGGCCTAATTTCAACCATTTCCTTGGTCTTTTCTGATTACTATAAATTATATCCACAGGAAACTGAATAATAGTATTCAGTTTATTCTCTATTTAAAATTAACTAATTTAATTATCAACTTAAGTATTATGCCTGTTAAGTTATTTATGTGCCTTAAATTGTAATTCTCCGTTACTACCAAATTAATTTCGTTTGTCCATTAATTGTGCTGTTCTGTTATTGAAAGTTAACAGTGTGTAGTCAGTTAATAGTATTTGCTGCAATTCCAACTTCTTTGTTTGAATTCAATTTCTTTGACTATGATTATAGATGTTATCATCAAGGGAAGTGTATACAGAAATTTTGTGTCATATTTTTAAGTTTTAAAATATTTTAAAATAAAATTAGTTTTCTATGCCTTTAGAATGTAACTATGCTTTCCTTCTTCTATACATCTATATACATACAGTATATGTCTGAACAAAATGAAGGAGAATCCAGCTCAAAGTAAAAAGAAAAAGAGTAAAGAAATCACAGAAATCTAACCAAACACTATGCAAAGCAACAGAACAAGCAGTTCTCTAAATTTGGAAAAGTTTTACTGACATCTAAAGGAAGGAAAAATAAACGTGGACTAAGAAATGTAAAAATCTGCTCACCATTCCTCTGATATGGGCAATAGGTACAGATAAAGCTATCGGTAAGTTATCAAAATAGTTCAAGAATATGCTGTAGTGTCACAAAAATGACCACTTAAATTACTGCTTTTTTTTTTAAGATTTATTTATTCATACAGAGCTGGGGTACAGGCCAGAGATTCGGAGGGTGAGAGGATTCACCAGAGACAGAGTGGGGAGCAGAACAGGCAGATTGACGAAGTACACTGCTGAGGGGAGCAGCGGTGTCAGGAGAGGTCTGCCACGCCATGTGGATCTCTTCCAGGGCAGGCGGGAATCGAACTCATGCAGAAATGGCTTAAGCTTCTTAGTGCTGTGCTTTAACCCACTGCGCCACCAGGGAGGGCCCAAATTACTGCTTTTTTAATTCACAGATTAAGCATCCTTTTCTCTGAAAGGATTTCATTGTTCTATGAAATTCTTCTATTAAAATTGAAATATTCCTCTTTTGATTAGAATACTTAAGTCACTTTGACACAGAGTAACAATCTCTGTTTTCAACTTCGGACAGAACTTCAGAGAAGGGGTTCTTTCCACATCTATTTTAACTTAGAAGTTTTGTAATATTAAGTGCATATCTCAAAAATTCTAACTTCTACCAGAGCAGATATATTTACTATACAATTCAAGCCAAATGCATATAATCACATATAAATTCATTGGGGGAGTCCACATTACAACAATATAAAGCACATAGTTCAATTAGCAGTAAAAGTGGGGAGGGATATGAATCTTTGGGAAAGGGTTGGGAGATTGGACACAAAGCTTGGGGGAGAGGGGACCTGGTTCCATAGAGTTCCTGGCAGTTGTCCATCTGTAGTGCAACAGGTACAGGTTTCATGGACTCCACCTCCACTCCAGATACTGGAACTACTAATTCCATCAATAACAAGGAGAAGCCACTGGGACGTGAGGGCGGAGCTGAACAGCCAGGTTAGGATAAAACCAGACATGTGGGCCCTGGAGGTCTCTTGGCCTGGTGGTTCGCAGCTGGTCCTTTGGCTCTCAATCAGTTTTCAGCGTGTGTGGCTAACTCGACAGGACCTCACGTGCACCTGTCCGCCCTGGCTAATGTGCATGGGTGAGCACACTCCCCAGTAAGGCCAACAAACAAGTCAGCAGAGCACAGTGCATGTCCTGCAAATAGCTGCAGCCCACTACTTTGTTTCAAGTAGAAGCTACAAGAAACCCCAGGAGGGTACAAATATGCACCCCACTCCCTGCCTTGGGCACATTTCCTGTTTTTCCCTGTGAGTACAGACCCTATATATACCCATCAGTGATCCTAATAAACAGACTCTAGACTCCAGATCCCAGGCTCCTGCTTCATTCTCTTGCGTCTCCAAGTCTCCTACATTCAGGCAAACGTAGTGGTCAGCACACCCTTCTGTGGGTTAGCAACAAGTGTGCTGGTGGAGTCCAAGTGAGCAGAACTGGTAGGACTCACTTGGACTCACTTCTAGTTTAACTTGTATTTCTCTCCCTCTTTCCCTGGGTTGTTCTTTACCTTTCTCCTTGTAAATAAATCCATTATTGAACCTTTTTGTGTGTGCCCATATGACTGAATCTTAAGCGCGGGTGGGGACCCACAGACAGGCAACCCAATTCACATTGGGGTGCCCTGTAACAGTAGGAAGGGGATGGTCATTGAATCTTTAAGCATCTCAGGTTGACTTAATTCAGAAGGCAGGGTCTGTCTGCACAGCCAGGTTTTTATTTTCCCTTCCATTGACATATCTTATAATCAATCTTTTTAAAGTGTTACAGGGCACCCCAATGTGAACTGGGTTGCCTGTCTGTGGGTCCCCACCCGCATGCTTAAGATTCAATCGGATTATGGTCACACACAAAAAGGTTCAATAATGGATTTATTTACAAGGAGAAAGGTAAAGGAACAACCCAGGGAAAGAGGGAGAGAAATACAAGTTAACTAGAATGTCCTACCAGTTCTGCTCACTTGGACTCCACCAGCACGCTGAAAACTGATCAAGAGCCAAGTGACCAGCAGGGAACCACCAGGTCAAGAGACCCCCTCTCCCCCCAGAGTCCCCATGTCCGGGTTTTATTCTAAACTGGCTGCTCAACTCTGCCTTCACTTCCCAGCCGGCTTCTCCTTGGTATTGATGGGATTAGTAGTTCCAGTATCTGGAGTGCGAGCAAAGTCTATGAAACCTGTACCTGTTACAAAAGGAGTGATTGCTTTTTAATTGAAAACTTAAGGCGCTCTATCTCAATTGTGCCATCTCTTGACCAGTTAGCATCATTACAATTTCAGTACATACAACAAGTTTCCAAGAAACAGTACTCTAGGTCCATCTTTACTGTCTGGACTTAATAGAAACCTCTTTATAAGCAAGTCTTGCTTTCTTGAACCTTTAAAACACGACTTCACATTTTAATTCCCCTAAACTCTATTTCCTCAAATTTCAATGTCAACTCGTTTCTTATTTGGTGGTCACTTCTTGGATCACCTGGAATGTAAATTCCAATGCGTTAGATGAGAGGCCTTTACTGTATTATAGATACAGCAATTAGCTCTATGACCTTGACCAAATCACTTACATTCATTAGAAGTTACTTCTAGTGCAGAGTAGTCAAACCGGTTGACCTGACTGTGATTTCTAACTCTGAAAAAGCACACGACCGCATGAATCTGTCAATGCCTGACATACAGTAGGTGCCCAAAATTATTTAACATACAATGTCTTAAAATAGAATCCTAGGCTGGAAGCCTGGATTACCAGATTTTTATTTTTAAAATAAAGGGCTTTCTTCTTTGTGTTACAAAACTCAGAGATTTTGCCACGCAATGCCGTCATTTCGCAGGTCAATTGAATCTTCCGCGCTCCTGCAGAGTTAGAAGTAACTCAGAGTTGAGTGTTCTTCTGTTGACGTCTGCAGGACGCCGCACGCCATTCCTACCTGCAAGGACGCCCTTCCCGCGGCCACACCCTAAACTGAAACCCGGATGTTCCTCCTTACTGACAGGAAGGCGCGGTGGGCTGCACAATCATTGGGACCGCCCCCTCCGGTGACGTCACCGCCCCTGACCCCCCGCGGTCCCTCCCTCTTCTCTGCCTCCCGGTAGCCGGCGGCGGCGTCTTAGGGTACAATGGACGCTTCCCAGTCGGCGACTGCGCCTCACGGGGCAGAAGCGTCCTGCTCTTCCTGGGGGGCCGGCAGGTGAGAAGATGAATGTGGGCGCCAAGCAAGGAGGGAGGCGGGTGGGAGCCGTGCGTCCGCTTTTTGTTTCTGTCCTGTGGGCGGCCAGGGATCCCGCGAGAGGCCGCGGGGCTGACCGGGGCGGCCCCCAGAGGCAGGAGTGCGCGCGGGGTGGGTGTGGCGGCGTGGACCCGGGGCTTCCGCGGCACCCCGGCTCCTCTAAGGAGAAATAACACCCTCGCCTCTTTCAGCCTTCAGTTCCGGTTGGGTTCTGAAGTGCGCCTTCCTCCCAGTCGAAAGATCGGGTGGAGAGTTCTGGCCTCGGACGCCTGCTGTGCGCTTCCCAGACCCGGGTGGAACACTTTCCCCCTCCGCGCTAAAATGAAAGCTGAGCCCTCTGCTGTGCGTGATCCTCCACTGAGCTTTTGAAAACTATTACTAGAGGGAACTTGGTATGAGGAATCAGTGGCCGTCAGGACACCCTAAGGCCTCAGCTTTGACTCCAGTTTAAAAAAAAAAATATGCAAGGGGTAAACAGCACCAGTTACCTACCAGTTCTTACTTTCCAGTTGATGTTTAAGTTCTTCACGTTTGTTCTAGTCTTACAAAATTAGGGGTAGGGAGGTGTTGTGTAGCCTCTGTTTCAGTCATTGCATATAATTAATCAATTGGATAGTTATATACAGTACTACCAGTAGACACAGCCAGGACACACTACCTGAATACAATACTCCAAAGATGAAAGTGATGAATATGATATTGTACCGAATGTGATACTCTCCCATAAACCTGTAGCGGTTTTTGTTCGCTTCAGATTGAACAGATACTTTTGGGACCATGGTATTGCTTGCCTGCCTTTGCCAGAGCTGGCAGATGTGATGCGAACTGTGCTCCACCCATTATTTAAAGCATTTTGATTTCCTTGCAGACCTTATTATAAAAATGATTCTTGAAACAATCCAGTAGGGTGAAACTTTCAGAAAAGGCAGAGCTAGTTATGTCATTAAGTGATAGAGTTGGTAGAATATAGCTTCCCCGCTTACAAACAAGAAAACAAATGAAAGTATAGTGGGGATAAGAAACCTATAAGAAATTTTGTTTTTACATATTGTTCAATGTCAAAACAGGATTTAGAACATGCAAGTATGTGTTTACTAGGTAGGGGATCTCTTAGAATGGCTAGCTTCTAGTTACTATCTTCATTGGAATCAGATTTTTTTCCCCCAGTAATTATACATTTAATGAACTCGAAGCTGATACCATTAGCTATTAATCAGTGTTTACATATCTTTTGACTTGTTTATCAATACTAGTTCTAGGAAATTGAATTCCAGAACTGAATTTCATACTGCCACATAGATTTTAGAATCATATAGTTCTGTAGAATCAGAGCTTCCTAGAATCTGGAATGGGTTATACTTTTGTTAAGATGATTTTGATCTTAGGGGTCACAGTGCTCGAGTTCAAGTGCCTCAAACTGGTTCCCTTTGCCCGTGAGCATCTGTTCCCCAGTGTTTTATCATTTTTCTTTGTATACCCTAATATGAAAAAAAAAATGGGATGAGTTGATGTAAATGATACATCTCTGAAGGTTTGTCTTGTCTCAATAGTATGTCCAACTTATTTTTGAAATTCATTCAAGAGATAATTTTTGGTTGCACTATTTATGTCTACTATACTATTTAAGTGGCAGCATGGCATTATTGTGGTTAAGAACTAAGATAAATTGCTGTCTGGATTCAAAGCTTGACTCTGTTCTATGACTGTCAAGTTATTTAAGTTAACCTTTCTTGGCCTTTGTTTTTTACTTTGTTTAGTGGAGATATTAATAGTGCCTACCTATTTCATCAGTTTACTGTAAGGATTCTGAGTTATTCCATCTAAAGCACTTAAGGCAGTGTGTCCCATAGTATTAACTATTCTTACTACTAAATGTATGTACTGCCAAGTATGTGAATTACATTAGTGAATTCTTTTTTTTTTAAAGATTTATTTATTTATTCATACAGAACTGGGGTACAGGCCAGAGATGCGGAGGGTGAGAGGATTCACCAGGGACAGAGTGGGGAGCAGAACAGGCAGATCCTCGAAGTACACTGGTTAGGGCAGCAGCGGGCGGGTCTGGAGAGGTCTGCCACGCCATGTGGATCTCCTCCGGGGCAGGCGATGATCGAACTCATGCAGAAGTGGCTTAAGCTTCTTAGTGCAGTGCTTTAACCCTCTGCACCACCAGGGAGGGCCCACATTAGTGAATTCTTAATGGAATTAGTGGATCATACATTCTGTAGAAGGCAGACAGTAAACAATGATTAGTGATTGAAGAAAATACAGCAGGTTAGTGAGTTAAGGAACGACATAAAGAGGAGCTATTCTATTGATATTTTTTTTTGTGAGATAATGCGTTAATAGAGACCTAAATCATGGCAGTTAGCTATTTAAAGATCCAAAGGAGGAACATTCTAAGCAGAAAGAATAGTGAATGTAAAAACTTTGAACTATGACAAATTTGTCTTTTTGAAAACCAGTCCAGAATAGTTGAAAATTGTGAGCAAGAGGAAGAGTGGTGGTATTTGATATTAGAGAGGTAATTGGGTGTCAACATGATGACCCTTTTTATGATGGTAAGGTAAAGTTTAGATTTTATTCTGAAAGTGAAGGTAATTCACTGGAAGGTAGTTCTAAGTCAGAAAGTTATGTCTGACTACATTTTAAAAGATTTAGGCTGTTTAATAGAGAATACACTGAAAGGAAAGGAGAAGAGTAGAAATAGGAAGCCTTTGAAGTATTTCAAATGAACTGTACTGGTTTGACCTGGTACTATACTAGTTGAGTTATAAGAAGTGATCTTATTTGAGATATCTTGATGGATTCATAGATGGAGAAAATTAGTTGATTGAATTATGCAAGAAAACTAGATTTTTGTCATGAGCAAGTAAGTAAATGATGCTACCAGAAATGAAGTTGAGAAAGATTCAGTTAAGCAAGGGGAATTCTCTTTTGTGTTTGTTATGTTTGCGTTATAAATTAGACACACAGGAGAGATTTTTTTTACAGATGTGTAAAAATCTTGGAGTCAGGGGTAAAATCAAACATGGAGAAATAAGTTTTAAATAGCATCAGTATATGGTGATTTCTGTGTGCTGGAGTGTTTATATTAGACAAAGTTTATGGGCCACTATAACAAAATTGCTAAAATATATCAATATATGAAACAATGGTAAAACACCTTACAATAAAATAGTCATTTATAATACATACAGGGGAGACAGTGGATTCAATTTTGATTTGTTTTTAAATTCTAAAAGTGGCAGATAATAAAACCTCTTTTAGTAAATGCTAAGCCTGATCCCATGTGTAATTAAGTAGTGCATTGTAAAATGTGAATATCCATTAGCCAGATTTGCCCTAATAAGTTATGTTTTGTTCTTTCAGTACAAATACAAATTTACCCATCATGTCAACAGAGTTTGTGGAGATAGATGATGCTTTATACAGGTAAGAGCTTATGGAAACTGAAACTTATTTCCTCTGTTCACTATTCACAGTGGAGTGGTCTTTTTGAAGAAACTTTTAGAATATTGTAAATATATCTTAAAAGTTCCTTCAAGTTAAAATAAGGATATCTGTAATTTTTTTTTCCTTCTTAAGTATAAAAGCTTGAATAATACTTAAATCTCAACTGTTTTAGGTTTGAGTGATATGACAAAGAATGATTTGTTCTCCACTGAAAAAGATACCTGTTGTTTTGGGGCAAGAATACTTTATGCTCTGGTAATATAAGTTTCTCACTAACAATATTACATGTTTGTTATATAGACATACAGAAGTAATATGTGATTAAAAGCTGTTACTAGAGTGGAATTTAGTGGGACTTTTTCTTACCATACTTTTTCATGAAATCAAAATATCCTTTTTGAAATTAAAAACACCATCGTGCCCATCTTCAAACAACTAGCAACAACAATTGTTGGCAAGGGTGTGGAGAAAAAGGAACTCTCCTGCACTGCTGGTGGGAATGCAAACTAGTACAACCACTATGGAAAACTGTCTGGAGGTTCCTCAAACTGCTAAACATGGAGCTTCCCTACGACCCAGCAATCCCACTCCTAGGTATCTATCCAAAAGACACAAAAACACTGATTGAAAAAGATACTTGTACTCCCATGTTTATTGCTGCTTTATTTACAATTGGAAAAACATGGAAGCAGCCCAAATGCCCAAAAGTAGATGACTGGATTAGAAAGATGTGGTACATATATACAATGGAATATTACTCAGCAACCAAAAAAGAGAAACACATGTCTTTTGCAGCAACTTGGATGGAGCTGGAAAAGATCATGCTTAGTGAGATAAGCCAGAAAGAGAAAGAAAAATACCGGATGGTTTCACTCATAGCAGAAGTATAATGGACCAGGCGAGAAAATAACAAAAATAATGAACAACCATATACCAGAGACATTCTGTGGGAGTGGAGTGCGGAATGGGATCAAAAAGGGGGCGGGGGGAGGAAGGGAGGCAAATGCACGGGACTATGGTGGTGGCACAGGGGTGATTTGGTGATGGGAAACCTGTGGGGATTACAATCGAGATGGAAAAAAAAAATGTGCAAAATGATGTAAAAACAAACTTTATAATAAAAAAAAAACCGCCTTAGAATATTTTTTTCCAAATTAGTTTATTGAGATAAGGTAGGTCTACAACTTTGTGTGCTCCATGAATTGTAGGTTCAAAGCTCTGTAGGTATATACTTGCATGCCCTGCACACTAGAAGATAGTAGTCTTACAATGTGTTTAGGTTTCCTCTCTCTATAATCAAGAAAATAGATTTTGTTGTAAGTAGAATTTGGAAAGATGGTTTCATTATGTATTTTAAATGCCTCTTCATGGTTTTTTTTTTTAAAAGATTCATTTATTTTTGCATACAGAAATGGGGTACAGGCCAGAGGTACAGGGGCGGTGAGAGGATTCACCAGAGACAGAGTGGGGAGCAGAACAGGCTGACTGACAAAGTACACTGCTGAGGGGAGCAGCCGGCAGCTCAGGAGAGATCTGCTGAGCTATGTGGATCACCTCCAGGGAAGGCAGGGATTGAACTCATGCTGAAGTGGCTTTAGCTTCTTAGTGCTGTGCTTTAACCCGCTGCGCCACCAGGGAGGGCCCCCTCTTCATGTTTTTTATGAGCAGTGCAGCCAGTTTAAAAATTTTTATGGATCTTGGTGTGTTGATTTCAATGTTTTGTGCAGTACTCCTAGACAAAGGTAATGAAAGACTAAATTTCTTGTTTAACACACGGAATCCTAATATAAATACGTTTCAGACTACACCTGAAGTATGGACTATTGAGTTGTAATTACAATGCTGGTAATGTCCTCTCAGTTATATTATTAGGATAACAGTTGGCAGCTCCTAGAGATAGTGTTGGCTAATTTTTAGTCATTATTTACTTAGAATCTTTGTGAAATGTTTTCATATACTGCCAGCCAATAATGGCTGAATAATCCACACAGTTTTCAGTAGAGACTAAATATTCCATTTGCATTGCTATGTAAGTGGTAGACTGCCGTTTGCTTCATTGAAAGTAACAGAATATAGCAGTTCAGAGATTATCTTTTGATGTCTTTGAACTTTGAATGCATGACTTGTTACAAACATCTTGTTTGTTTAACCATTGTGATTATTTAAATTTCAATCTTTCAGTGAGTACAAAAATCAAAAAATAATTAATAATAAAGACAAAACTTTGTAAGGACACTGCCAAATGAGTGCTAAAATAGTCACTATTCTAAGTTTTCTTACTAGAAATGCAAACGATGAATTTATTACAAAGACCAAAATGTGAAATTTCCACACCAAAATAATAGCTTTGGTTTTTCTTAAATTTAAAAAATTTTTTTTCTGACTTATGAGTGTTTTACTATTAGTGACTAAACTTGAAGACTTAGGAGATTTTTAAATTTTTAACTGTATATACTGCTTTGTGGGAACTTTTATTTGATTCAGTACTTTCAATAGTGGTTTTCTTAGCGAAATGCCATGGAAAGAGTTTCCTTAACACCTCACCAGCTTAGGGAAATAGATTCTGTAGTAAGCTGAATAAAGAGAGAGTAGAATAAAGATAGTTTGCAGAAGTTGTCTTTTCTCTACATTGTCTTTCACACAACCCGCAGTTCTAACCATTTTGCTTTATGATACAAATCTAAATACTTTAATATAATTTAAGGTTATTTTATAACATGATCTCAACTTAGGTTATTTTTTCTTTCATTGTGGTAAACACAATTAAAAACTTAAGTATATGCAGCAGTATTGTAAACTGTATACATATTTGTATAGCAGGTCTATAAAATGTTTTTCATCTTTAATGAATGATGACACTATACCTATTGTGCTAACTGCACCTCATTTCTCCCCTTGCACCCACCATTCTACTTTCTGATGCTAGGAGTTTGACTACTTTAGGTACCACATATAAATGAAATCATGTAATACTTGTCCTCCTATGATTGGCTTATTTCACTTATGATGTCCTCAATACTTATTTCATACCCTAACTTATGATGGGATTTCCTTCTTTAAAGCTGAATAGTATTTCAGTGTCTGTGTGCAAATATATATGTATGTACACATACATATCACATTTTATTTATTGATCAGTATACATTTATGTTGTTCCACTTATTGGCTATTTGATAATGCTGCAATGAATATATGGTGCACATATCTCTTTAAAATCCTGCTTTCGTTTCTCTTGGATAAAAGCCCAGAAATGGGATTTACTGGAGCACAAGGTTCTGTTTTTAATTGGTTGAGTATGTCTATACTGTTTTTCATTGTAGCTGCATGGATTTACATTCCCAGTGATAATGTACAAGAATTGCCCTTATCATCACTTGTTATTTTCTGGAAGGTTTTTGTTTTTAATATTGTCACTTTAACAGGTATGAGGTGATACTGTGGTTCTGTTTTTCATTGATGGTTATTAAAGATGTTAACCACGGGCCCTCCCTGGTGGCGCAGCGGGTTAAAGCACAGCATAGAGAATCTAAAGCCGCTTCCACATGAGTTTGATTCCCGCCTGCCGCCTGCCCCGGAGGAGACCACATGGCGAGGCAGACCTCTCCTGACCCGCCCGCTGCTCCCCTCAGCAGTGTACTTCGTCGATCTACCTGCTCTGCTCCCCACTATGTCTCTGGTGAAGCCTCTCACCGCCCCTGAGCCTCTGGCCTGTACCCCAGTTCTGTATGCACAAATAAATAAATATTTAAAAAAAAAAAAGATGTTAACCACCTTTTTATATACCTTTTGGTCATTTATATGTTGCCTTTAAGAAATGTCTAGTTTTTTCTTACTCACTTTTTAATTGGGTTGTTTAAGTTTTGGGTTTTTTTTGGGGGTGGGGGGCTGTTGCTTTTATCTTTTGGATAATAACCCCTTTGTAGTTTAATGGTTTGTAAATACTTTCTCCTATTCCGTAAGTTGCCTTTCCACTTGGTGAACTTGATGAAGTGGAAGCTTCCACAGAAGTTTGAAGTAGTTTTATTTGTCTTATTTTTTTCTTCTTGCCTATGCTTTTTCATGTACAGGAAATTCTTGTCAAAGTGTTACGAAGCTTTCCCCATTTTCTTTCAGGACTTTAAGAGTTTCAGGCTTTATGTAAAAGTCTTTAACCCATTTTCAGTTGATTTTGTATATAGTATAAGATAAAGATTCGATTTTTGTCATCTGCACACAGGAATCCGGTTTTCTTGACACCAAAATACCTTTTCCTTTAAAAGTAGCCATAGTAGGCTGTTTTCTTACCATATATCGTTTATATATATACTTTCACAGTTCAGTTTGTTTTTTCCTAGAACACCATTTTGTACTTCAAAAGCAACTTCTGTTTAACTTGTAAGACTCAACTATCCTGATATCTTAGCTGAAATACATGCTCAGTCCTGAAACACATTAAATATCAGAGGTTTGCTGTTAAATATCAGAGGTTTCATTGTACTATACCACAGTATTTGCTTACATGATTATCAGCTGTTTCAGATTATGAGCTTCTCAGAATCAAGGACCATACTACACTGTCTAATTCTTAAATTATCATTAGAGGATTATTAAATGACTACTGCAAGACAGGGTGAAGATTAACTTTAGTATGGCATCCTAGAGATTGACAATTCAGAGACTAGCCAGAAACTGGAAGAAATCAGAAGATATGACAGAAAAGCCTGAAAAAGATTCATATGCTACAAACACTAGGAGTTGCCGCTATTAAGAAGATACTTTCATGTTTTATTGAGAATCAAAAACCACTATCAATTTTCAGCATTTTACTCTGCTGGAGTCAGGCATTGCACTGCCACAGCAAGACTTTTTTTACATATGCAAAAGATAGAAAAACAGAAGGTGTTTCTTTTCTCTGGAATTGGACATTTTGAGCAAATAAGTATCTCTTTAACAGGTTAGATGGCATGTCAATTCATTTTAACCTCAAAGTTAGAGAAAAC